ATATGAATCTTTAGCGCATCTGGCATGTAAAGATCTTGTGACACGGGCTACAAAAGTGCTATGCAAATGCCTGTTCTCACTTTCAGGAGACACTTGAAACAAGAAGTGGGCAGCATTATCTCCTGCAAATGTAAACTAACTTGTTTGTCTGAGTGATTGGCTGAACAAGAAGTAGGACTGAGTGGACTTGCAGGGTCTAAAATTTTACATTGTTTTATTTTTGAATGCAGTTTTTTTTACATAATTCTACATTTGTAAGTTCAACTTTCTTACTTGTATTAGGTGAATTGAAAAATACTATTTCTTTTGTTTTTTTACAGTGCAAAACCTTGTAATCAAAAATAAATATAAAGTAAGCACTGTACACTTTGTATTGTGTTGTAATTGAAATCAATTTACTTGAAAATGTAGAAAAATTCAAAAATATTTAAATAAATGGTATTCTATTATTGTTTAGCAGTGCGATTAATCGCAATTAATTTTTTTTAATCGCTTGACAGCCCTTATTTTAACTCAAACTAAGTAACAGATTAATCAGTTAATTGCCAGTTAGTTAATTCTATACTCCAAGAGCATGTGTTGTAAAACTGGGATGTATACACTATATTAATCTAACAATAAAGAGGATGAATGAGAGAGAGCTTTCTTTGACAGGGTAACAAGTCTTGTAGATGAGGGGGAAGCAGTAGATGTGGTATATCTTGACTTTAGTAAGGCTTTGATACGGTCTCGCAAAACCTTCTCATAAACAAAATAGGGAAATATAACCTAGATGGAGCTACTATATGGTGGATGCATAACTGGTTGGAAACCATTCCCAGAGAATAGTTATCAATGGTTCACAGTCATGCTGGAAGGGCATAATGAGTGGGGTCCCACAGGGATCAGTTCTGGGTCTGGTTCTGTTCAATATCTTCATCAATGATTTAGATAAAAACACAGAGAGGACACTTATAAAGTTTGGAGATGATAACAAGCTGGGGGTGGATGGATTTGTAAGTGCTTTGGAGGATAGGATTACAATTCAAAATGATCTGGAAAAACTGGAGAAATGGTCTGAAGAAAATAGGATGAAATTCAAAAAGGACAAATGCAAAGAACTCTGCTTAGGAAGGAACGATCAAATCTGCACACATACGAAACTGGAAATGACTGCCTAGGAAGGAGTACTGCGGAAAGGATCTGGGGGTCACAGTGGATCACAAGCTAAATATGAGTCAACAGTGTACACTGTTTCAAAAAAAGCAAGCATAATTCTGGGATGTATTAGCAAGAGTGTTGTAAGCAAGACACGAGAAGTAATTCTTCTGCTCTACTCCGTGCTGATTAGGCCTCAACTAGAGTATTGTGTCCAGTTCTGGGAGCCACATTTCAGGAAAGAAGTGGACAAACTGGAGAAAGTCCAGAGAAGAGCAACAAAAATGATTAAAAGTCTAGAAAACATGACATATGAGGGAAGATTGAAAGATTGTTTAGTCTGGAGAAGAGAAGACTGAGAGGGGACATAATTTTAAAATACATAAAAGGTTGTTACAAGGAGGAGAGAAGTAAATTGTTCCCCTTAACCTCTGAGGATAGGATAAGAAGCAATGGGCTTAAATGGCAGAATGGGCGGTTTAAGTTAGAAAGTTTTTCCTAATGTCAAACCATCAGGGATGGTCTAGATAATACTTAGTCTGGTCATGAGTGCAGGGGACTGGACTAGATGACCTCTCAAGGACTCTTCCAGTCCTACTAACCCCCACTTAAAGTAAAAAAACCCTGAATTCAGCCTTATCTATGGAATCACAACAAAGGCCTCCATAATTAATCTGTTTTAACAACTGTACCTGCCTCTTATAAAGAAATGGACAAAACTTATCAGCATTTTAGAAACATATCCAAAACCAACATTCTAATATGTACACTATTATCCTCTATTTTATATAACAATATATTTGAATGTGCAAATTCAAATATAACAATATATTTGAAAGTGCAAATTCAAAGATACTGTTTTTACCAAGGAAATGGTTAGCTTAGTTTGTCTTCCCAAAAGTGAAATCTATTTCTCATCTTGTTTCAAAAGCATTTTAAAATGCTAAACTTGCAGTATAATTATGGCCTCTGTGTAAATCATGATTTCATAGAGGGCACAGGAATCGTGAAAATGCCCCCAAACCATGAACTTTTAAATATTATTTTTAAAAAGAAAATGTCTACAATGCAGTCTTTAATACAAAAAAATTACCTTAGCTAGTCAATTTCAAGTCAGAATGAATTTTACAAGTAACTTTAGTCAATTTTGTGACAGATATGGCAATTTCCTGTAATTTCTTGAACCAAACTTACTGAATTAAGTTAAACCTTCCTGAATTAAGTTTAAGTATCTTAGGAGTTCACTGTATTAAAAATGCAAATGTTTATGTATTATTGTGGGATTGTATATAACATCTCGTGGGGTGAAGGAAAGAGACATGAGTAATGTAAACCCTGGGAAGTGTTATAAGCTTCAGAGGACTATTTGAAACAATGTGTCAGACAAGAATGAACTTTTAAAGTTAAGTGGGTTTCCCAGGAAATCTCTAGGGCAAGGTGTGTGCAAATGTACCTCCTCCAGTTATGCAAGAAATCAGCTTTTTGAAGCTCTGCCTTGAGATGGGTCCTTGTCTGCTTATCACCTGGTTCATGAAAACAAGATCAGAGGCCAAACCATATAAAGGAGTGACTGACAGATTCACAAGTGTTCTTGTGCTGAGCGAAAGCTGTTATGAACTTGTAACCACAGGAAAACCCCTGTGTGGGGCTTGAAGGACTGACTCCTACCAGAGACTTTGCTGAAGTTGGGGGGTGATCTCTGGTAAGCTTATTAGCATGAGTGTAGATTCTTTTATTGTTTTAATGTTTTCTCTGTAATGCTTTCATCTTAAGAATAAATGCTTGGAAAGAGCAGTGTGGTAAGTTATAACTGTGTGCAATTATGCTGTTTATAGCCTCTGAAGAGAAAGCAAAGCAGTCTGCTTAGGCAGTTTGACTTGCTGGGGAACTCACAGTGTAGGCAGGGAACTGTCTAGCCTAGAAAAATCTCTAGTCAGGAAGGAGAGAGATGCGGGTCTCCACCTAAGAGAGGCGACAACTGAGGAGCCGGAAACCTGAGAGCAGGTGCCTTGAGTGGCCCTTACAGGGGGAATACTGGTGCAGTTGCCCTGCAAAGTGACAAATTTCAAGGACTAAATGTTACTTGTAAAATTCATTCTGTCCTTGAAATTGACTAAATTTACTTGTAAAATTCACTCCATGTGAACTCTGTGAAATTTAATACTTTGCCATTTACACAGTCATGAATTTTCTAAACAAATAACTCGTGATTTACGTAGACTACCAAGTATAATCCCTAATTGCTTGCATTTCAACTATTGCACACATCTATAATAAAGATGATGCTATGCATTACCAAAACATTTCCCTATGTATCCATTTGCATCATACTACTCTGTGGGTGGATACTTTTGGGGTTAATTGGTTGTAGTACATGCTATAGAATTAAAAAAAAAACAGATTTTTTTTTTTCAGACAGAGACATGGTTTCTAATAGACTGGCCTACTAGTCTTGATATAATCTTCAGCTGAGCATTTTAATACACTCTGTACGCCTGTTAATCAATAATTCTTTCTTTCCTACCAACAATGAGGAAGTTTTCAAAGCCTGCTCTTCCTCCATGGGTGCATCTCAGACAGAGGTTACAAAGGGAAAGATGCCAAATTTTCACCATTTCAAATACTTTGGCAGTGTACAACATTAAACAAACTTCTCTGGGTTTCAACATGGATTCTTCCAGAGACAGTACCTTTGACATGCAGTCTCCGTTACAAAAATAGAAATGTGTTCTCCTTATGAAAATTAGGATTTATATACTCTTCTATTATATTACATAAGGCTTTAGTGTTTATTGTTACTGAGTTTTTTCCAGATGAAGTCTGTGCACTGCAGAAGTAAAACCGTTTTTTAAAACACTGCCAGCCCTGAAAATTCCCAGATATCTGAAAGTGAAGCTGGGTTTTCCTCACCATACATCATCACTGGTAATAAAGATTCTACAGTCCAAATCATGTGTTCATTTATGCTTGAATGACCTCATAAACAATAAAGGTGACAATTTTACATCACCTCTTTTCATAGCAGAACCAAATTTAAGAGTTAAAGGCTATTTAGTTGTATGTTTAATTAGTGGTATTTGTTTACTATAAATATAACAAAGAACAAGCAGTAAGCTTTGAAATTCCTAACTCTGGTGGATGTGCATTTTGGAATCTGAATGTACTTTTTAATTGTGTGGCTGGTCATTCTCTCTCTCAAGGACAAATCAAAACTTTGGAGCTAAACACCTCTGAATTTTGAAGAACATGACATACAAATCTGAATTAATCCATGTGTGTCTTAATATTAACATCAGGGATATAAAATAGAAGATGCTGAACTTCTAATACATCTGCTCTTAAAAAGAAAAGGAGTACTTGTGGCACCTTAGAGACAAACAAATTTATTTGAGCATACACTTTCATGAGCTACAGCTCACTTCATCGGATAAATGCAGTGGAAAATACAGTGGGGAGATTTAATATACACAGAGAACATGAAACAATGGGTGTTACCATAGACACTGTAACAAGAGTGATCAGGTAAGGTGAGCTATTACCAGCAGGAGAGAAAAAAACTCTTTTGTAGTGACAATCAAGGTGGGCCATTTCCAACAGTTGACGAGAACTCTTGTTGCAGTGTGTATGGTAACACCCATTGTTTCATGTTCTCTGTGTATATAAAATCTCCCCACTGTATTTTCCACTGCATGCATCCGATGAAGTGAGCTGTAGCTCACGAAAGCTTATGCTCAAATCAATTTGTTAGTCTCTAAGGTGCCACAAGTACTCCTCTTCTTTTTGCGGATACAGACTAACACGGCTGCTACTCTGACATCTGTTCTTGATATTATGAGAGACAATGTAGTAAATTTAGTACATACCTCATAGCCAGGGCTGAAAGGAGACTGAGACAGCAAGTTGGAAAGAGGAAAAAGCAGAACAAAGTAGGAAAAAAAGAAAAGAAAACAATGTTACTTTTGAAGGAAGTATGAATATTTTATCATTTTACATTGAGGGGCTACTATGCAGTAGAACATAAAAATTGATTAGGTATTCAGATAGAGCTACTAGATTATGTAACCTACTCTTTGATCTTCAGATTATTAAAATTTCTGTTGAATAAGCAGCACACTATTACTAAGTTGAGAATGAAAAAAAAATCACTGTCAAAACTTTAGAATTCTGGATGGAGCTAGATTTTTTTAAAAACATCCTTTAAATGTAGACCCATAATCAATTATGAGCTCAAATGAAATAATTTAGATGCTTTACTGGATGATTTATGTATGCAGATGATATTTATGCTCATAAAGTGGAAAGTTAAAGTTTTCTCAGAGATCCATAAACAAATATACATTTACAGCACTATAAACAAGTTTCAAGTGTGATGGTACAAGGAAAATTAAAACATCATTCTGGCATTTCATGATTATCGTCTCTCAAAGACTTCCTTGTCAATTACGCATGTTGAAAGTAAAGAGATTTTTTTGCACAACTGCCTGCCCTCCAAACCAATGGCTTGTCTACACTCCCTTGTAGTTTGAACTACAAGGGCATGAATAGCAGTGCACACCAAAGTGCTGAATTGTAACTGCCCTGTGTGGACGCTGAGGGCACAAACTAAAAGGTTCATAATTTGCGTTAATGTGGTCCTCTTCAAACAGGACGATATTAATGCAATCTAGGAACCTTTTAATACATGCATGCAGTGTCCATACAGGGGAGTTACAGAGCAGCACTTTGGTGCGCATTGTTATTCATGCCCCTGTAGTCCGAACAGAGAAGGGTAGACATAGCCTAATCTTAAGTGTCTCAAACTAACGCTGGGTTCTTTCTGGTTCACACAAAAGTCTGACTTCGTAACTTTGTGAACAACTCTGGCTTTGGTACATTTCCAGGAGTAGACTCTAACTTACTCACTGTCAGCTGTGTTGGGTCTGCAGGGTAAACCGGAGTAAAAAGTAGTTAACATTTCTTTTAGTCACTAAAGCAAGCAGAACTGACTCTGAACACACCCAAAAAATCAGCTCAGTAAGAAAGCTGTCACACTCTTTTACAGAGACTAACAAGAGGAGGAAGAGCTGGAGAGAAGACTTATGAGAAATGTATTAGATTCGGTGTGTCTGCACACCCACAATGGATAGAGAGAGCAGAATTAGAGGCAAGGTTGAATGTTCTGTGAAAACATGGCTTCTTAATACAGCATCTTCACATTTTCTTTAAAACTGCAGTCATCATTTTGCACATACAAGTTTTATGCATGCATTTTTAATGCTTAAATCCGGGCACACAAAAATGAGACTTTTTATATCTCTATTAGATATCTATCTAGCTACCTGATTTTTTTTGTGTTCAAATGATTCAACTTATTATTTTTAGTGACCATAAATGTTCTATGCCCATAGAACAGAGCAAACAGAGAGAAAAAAAACCCATGGTGCCTGTCTTGCAGCATCTTACAATGACATCTAAGATGCAACAAAACAAGAATAGCGAAGAAACAAATGAGGGGGACAGACTGGAAGGAGAAAGGTTACATAGAAGTTACAGCTCGAGGTTAGTCGTTCGACTGAATATGGTGATGATGATGATGAATTTTAAGTTCTCTGGGATAGGGACGATGTCTTCCTTTTGTATGTACAGCACCTAATGCAATTGGACCCTGTCCAAATTAAGACTAGATCCTTGCAACCTGTCTCAAAACCAATGGATCTGGGTCAGGCTGGATCTGAAAACCACCTAACCCCTCTCAGGCTTGGGTCAGGTGAGGTCATCTCTGATCACTTCCTCCTGTCCATGGGATTGATGTAGCGGTGGCTGTGTGCGTCCAGCACCACCTTAAAGAGATCTGTGTGCACTGTGGAGTGAGTGTGCTGACAAGTTGTAGTGTCTCTCACTTGGCAGCATGCACGGTGCAGCGAGGCAATGGCGGCCTGCAGGAGCAGGTCACATAGCCACTGCTGCATGAACCCCATGGACACGAGGCAGCCAGAGATGAATCATGGGCCTAAGCTTGCATGAAACCCTCACCAAGCTGAGTGCTAAGGACGAGATGGCAATGCTGACACAAGTTTGTGGGGAAGTGTCAGGTTTGGGACAGGCTTGGTCTGAAAGTGACTAGAACTCTCAGGTTGGGTTCAGGTTGGCTAAGTTTGGTCTGACTCTGGATTGACCAAGGCAGATCTTTAGTTGGGGCATTTAACTAATATCACAATATAAATTACAAAAAAAAATTGGCTTTAAGTGAGCACTGCAGAAAGAGAGAGTCCGAAGAAGAGATTAGAATGAAGAGTGCTACATAAGAACATAAGAATGGCACCTACTGGGTCAGACAAAAAGTCCATCTAGCCCAGTATACTGTCTTCCGACAGTGGCCAGTGCCAGGTGCCCCACAGGGAATGAACAGAATAGGTAATCATCAAGTGATCCCTCTCCTGTCGCTCATTCCCAGCTTCTGGCAAACAGAGGCTAGGGACACCATTCCTGTCCATCCTGGCTAGTAGCCATTGATGGACCTATCCTCCATGAATTTATCTAGTTCTTTTTTGAACCCTGTTATGGTCTTGGCCTTCAAAACATCCTCTGGCAAAGAGTTCCACAGGTTGACTGTGCACTGGGTGAAGAAATACTTCCTTTTGTTTGTTTTAAACCTGCTGCCTATTAATTTCATTTGGTGACCCCTAGTTCTTGTGTTATGAGAAGTAGTAAACAGCACTTCCTTATCTACTTTCTCTACACCAGTCATGATTTTATAGACCTTAAGCATATCTCCCCATCGTGTCTCTTTTCCAAGCTGAAAAGTCCCAGTCTTATTAATCTCTCCTCAAACTGAAGCCGTTCCATACCCCTAATCGTTTTGTTGCCCTTTTCTGAACCTTGTCCAATTGCAATATATCTTTTTTGAGATGGGGCGATCACATCTGCACACAGTATTCAAGATGTGGGCGTACCATGGATTTATATAAAGGCAACACAATATTTTCTGTCCTATTTTCTGTCCCATTTTTAATTATTCCCAGAATTCTGTTGGGTTTTTTGACTGCCGCTGCACATTGAATGGATGTTTTCAGAGAACTATCCATAATGACTCTAAGATCTCTTTCTTGAGTGGTAACAGCTAATTTAGACCCCATCATTTTATATGTATAGTTGGGATTATGCTTTCCAATGTGCATTACTTTGCATTTATCAACATTGAATTTCATCTGCCATTGTATTACCCAGTCACCCAGTTTTGAGAGATCCTTTTGTAGCTCTTCTCAGTCTGCCTGAGTCTTAACTGTCATTAGTAATTTTGTATCATCTGCAAATTTTTCCACTTTACTGTTTACTCCTTTTTCCAGATCATAGAATCATAGAATCATAGAATATCAGGGTTGGAAGGGACCCCAGAAGGTCATCTAGTCCAACCCCCTGCTCGAAGCAGGACCAATTCCCAGTTAAATCATCCCAGCCAGGGCTTTGTCAAGCCTGACCTTAAAAACCTCTAAGGAAGGAGATTCTACCACCTCCCTAGGTAACGAATTCCAGTGTTTCACCACCCTCTTAGTGAAAAAGTTTTTCTTAATATCCAATCTAAACCTCCCCCACTGCAACTTGAGACCATTACTCCTCGTTCTGTCATCTGCTACCATTGAGAATAGTCTAGAGCCATCCTCTTTGGAACCCCCTTTCAGGTAGTTGAAAGCAGCTATCAAATCCCCCCTCATTCTTCTCTTCTGCAGGCTAAACAATCCCAGCTCCCTCAGCCTCTCCTCATAAGTCATGTGTTCTAGACCCCTAATCATTTTTGTTGCCCTTCGCTGGACTCTCTCCAATTTATCCACATCCTTCTTGTAGTGTGGGGCCCAAAACTGGACACAGTACTCCAGATGAGGCCTCACCAATGTCGAATAGAGAGGGACGATCACGTCCCTCGATCTGCTTGCTATGCCCCTACTTATACATCCCAAAATGCCATTGGCCTTCTTGGCAACAAGGGCACACTGCTGACTCATATCCAGCTTCTCGTCCACTGTCACCCCTAGGTCCTTTTCCACAGAACTGCTGCCTAGCCATTCGGTCCCTAGTCTGTAGCGGTGCATTGGATTCTTCCATCCTAAGTGCAGGACCCTGCACTTATCCTTATTGAACCTCATCAGATTTCTTTTGGCCCAATCCTCCAATTTGTCTAGGTCCTTCTGTATCCTATCCCTCCCCTCCAGCGTATCTACCACTCCTCCCAGTTTAGTATCATCCGCAAATTTGCTGAGAGTGCAATCCACACCATCCTCCAGATCATTTATGAAGATATTGAACAAAACCGGCCCCAGGACCGACCCTTGGGGCACTCCACTTGATACCGGCTGCCAACTAGACATGGAGCCATTGATCACTACCCGTTGAGCCCGACAATCTAGCCAGCTTTCTACCCACCTTATAGTGCATTCATCCAGCCCATACTTCCTTAACTTGCTGACAAGAATACTGTGGGAGACCGTGTCAAAAGCTTTGCTAAAGTCAAGAAACAATACATCCACTGCTTTCCCTTCATCCACAGAACCAGTAATCTCATCATAAAAGGCGATTAGATTAGTCAGGCATGACCTTCCCTTGGTGAATCCATGCTGGCTGTTCCTGATCACTTTCCTCTCATGCAAGTGCTTCAGGATTGATTCTTTGAGGACCTGCTCCATGATTTTTCCAGGGACTGAGGTGAGGCTGACTGGCCTGTAGTTCCCAGGATCCTCCTTCTTCCCTTTTTTAAAGATTGGCACTACATTAGCCTTTTTCCAGTCATCCGGGACTTCCCCCGTTCGCCACGAGTTTTCAAAGATAATGGCCAATGGCTCTGCAATCACAGCCGCCAATTCCTTCAGCACTCTCGGATGCAACTCGTCCGGCCCCATGGACTTGTGCACGTCCAGCTTTTCTAAATAGTCCCTAACCACCTCTTTCTCCACAGAGGGCTGGCCATCTCTTCCCCATTTTGTGATGCCCAGCGCAGCAGTCTGGGAGCTGACCTTGTTAGTGAAAACAGAGGCAAAAAAAGCATTGAGTACATTAGCTTTTTCCACATCCTCTGTCACTAGGTTGCCTCCCTCATTCAGTAAGGGGCCCACACTTTCCTTGGCTTTCTTCTTGTTGCCAACATACCTGAAGAAACCCTTCTTGTTACTCTTGACATCTCTTGCTAGCTGCAGCTCCAGGTGCGATTTGGCCCTCCTGATATCATTCCTACATGCCCGAGCAATATTTTTATACTCTTCCCTGGTCATATGTCCAACCTTCCACTTCTTGTAAGCTTCTTTTTTATGTTTAAGATCCGCTAGGATTTCACCATTAAGCCAAGCTGGTCGCCTGCCATATTTACTATTCTTTCGACTCATCGGTATGGTTTGTCCCTGAAGAATGAAGATCATTTATGAATATGTTGAATAGGACTGGTCCCAGAACAGACCCCTGGGGGACACCACTATTTATCTCTCCAGTCTGAAAACTGACCATTTATATCTACCCTTTGTTTCCTATCTTTTAACCAGTTACCAATCCATGAGAGTACCTTCCCTCTTGTCCTGTGTAGCTTACTTTGTGTAAGAGCCTTTGGCGAGGGACCTTGTCAAAGGCTTTCTGAAAATCTAAGTACACTATATCCACTGGATCCCCTTGGTCCACATGCTTGTTGACCCCCTCAAAGAATTCTAGTAGATTGGTGAGGCATGATTTCCCCTTACTAAAACCATGGTGATACTTCCTCAATAAATTATGTTCATCTATATGTCTGACAATATTGTTCTTTATTATAGTTTCAACCAGTTTGCCTGGTACTGAAGTCAGGCATACAGGCCCGTAATTGCCAGGATCGCCTCTGGAGCCCTTTTTAAAAATTGGCATCACATTAGCTATGCTCCAGTCATCTGGTACAGAAGCTGATTTAAATGATAGGTTACAGACTACAGTTAGTAGTTCTGCAATTTCTCATTTGAGTTCCTTCAGAACTCTTGGATGAAAACAAATATGTATACAAAACAAGCATGAGAAAAACTATTCTTGCAAAAACAATGGGTACAATTTTAGAGGTCACTTTTGAGAATTTGGCCCTAAATGAGGAGCATTTTCTTCATGCAAATTTTTACCTCTGGAAGAAAAAAAAAATCAGAAAGTTACCTATTTAATTTTTCAAGGTTTAAGCATTTGACCTGCTACTTGTTAAAGGTTTTTATTTTATCCATCTATATGTAATTCTAAACCATAATTTGGTAGGAAAATGATAGCATGGTACAAATTAATGATCTGTAAAGAAAAGAAATGTTACTAATATATATGCATTGCCACTCATTATGAATCCTACTATATTTCTTCATATTAAAAATTCAGTGTAACAATCTGGATTTTTTTAAAGTAAGATTTTTTTAAAAAATGACATTTAATAAAGGTGTTTAAATAATTCAAGGAACATGTGTCCAACAACAGACAGGCAGGCCTTTAGTCACAGTATTAGAAGTCTAACAAACTTAAGTTTTCAAATTGAGCTGTACAGCTAACAGAGCATGTATATAGAGAGGCCTGAACCAAAAGCCCCGGACATCCCTAAACTTTACAAAGTGTATCAATAGGATTGTTCAGCATTCTACAGTACAGACTATCTATTTAATGTTCCAGAAAGGTGATTTAATGACAGTTCTGAAAGCCGAAGTCCAGTATGCTCAGAACTCATACAATAACGGCAGCCTTGAGACCCTCAACTAAGACACCCAATTACTATATGTAGGTCACCAACCAGACATTAGATGATCATCTGAATCATTACTTAACTGGGCTGGATGCAGACAAATGGCCTAAATGACAAAGGCTCCATATTCTGTCACCAATCCTCTGACCCATCCTCCTCTCAAAATTATTTGTAATGATTATTTTTTAGGAACAGCAAATTCTCAAGATATAATCATGCATCAAGGGAAGTAAAAAAAAAATGCCTTGCACTTTCGATAAATGTCATTCAAAATTCAGCCTAGGGTTACATAATAATCAAATATTAACATTTATATATTGTTCCTGAGAAGCATCTTATCCTTTTTAATCCAATGTGTCTTTTTTGACAGTACTCAGTCCTGCAGCAATTTTAAGCTGTTTAAAATTTACATAAAGTGGCAACCCCCCTTTTTAACCTCAGTTCTGGAAACAATCTAAAATAGTGTCACATTGCCTCTTAATTCCATTTTTATCAATATTGTAATGACATTAGTAAGTGTGCATTTCTAAAATAAACCTTGAAAAGCACAATGTGCAACTTTTTGTTGTTCTACTAAATATTTTAAGTAAGTTTTTATTTTAAAAATGTATGTATTCATAATGTGCATCTGAATTTCTAAGTAGGTTTATTATAATTAGTGGCATCTGTAGATAATTGGGGTTCATGGATGGTGTTGCATGTAACACTAGGCCTATGTTGTTTGAATAACACTCTTGTCGTATATCAAGTTCAATAAGTGTAACATTTTAATTGGAAACAAAACAAGACAATGATTATTCTCATATGCTTATAAATTCTTTCCTCTTTTTTGAATTAAAATGTTTTTAAACTTTCATTTACTATTAGGTTCATTTCTGTGTGCACACTGCAGCTTTTTTAGCTATTAAAATATATTAATTATGGCAGTGTGTATTCCTCTCCATGACAAAAAATGTATAGTAACCTAACTTGTTCTAGGTTTCAGAGTAGCAGCCGTGTTAGTCTGTATCCGCAAAAAGAAAAGGAGGACTTGTGGCACCTTAGAGACTAACACATTTATTTGAGCATAAGCTTTCGTGAGCTACAGCTCACTTCATCAGATGCATGCAGTGGAAAATACAGTGGGGAGATTTATATACACAGAGAACATGAAACAACGGGTGTTGCCATACACACTGTAACAAGAGTGATCAGGTAAGGTGAGCTATTACCAGCAGGAGAGGAAAAAAAAACCTTTTATAGTGCAAGTAGAGTAGGGGCATTAGGGGACGAGAGCTGAGGAAGCGTTGTTCTAAGTCAGCCATAAAAATGTTGGCATACTGTGGGCCGTGTGGGTACCCATAGCAGTGCTGCTGATTTGAAGGTATACACTGTCCCCAAATGTGAAATAGTTATGGGTAAGGACAAAGTCACAAAGTTAAGCCACCAGGTTTGCCGTGACATTTTCGGGGATACTGTTCCTGACGGCTTGTAGTCCATCTTTGTGTGGAATGTTGGTGTAGGGGGCTTCTACATCCATAGTGGCTAGGATGGTGTTTTCAGGAAGATCACCAATGAATTGTAGTTTCCTCAGGAAGTCTGGGAGTGGATGTGTCATTACACAAAGTAAAACTATTTCCCCATGTTTATTCCCCCCCACCACCAACTGTTCCTCACACGTTCTTGTCAACTGCTGGAAATGGCCCACCTTGATTATCACTACAAAAGGTTTCCCCTCCCCCCACCCCGCTCTCCTGCTGGTAATAGCTCACCTTACCTGATCACTCTAGTTACAGTGTCTACAGTAACACCCATTGTTTCATGTTCTCTGTGTACATAAAATCTCTCCACTGTATTTTCCACCGCATGCATCCGATGAAGTGAGCTGTAGCTCACGAAAGCTTATGCTCAAATAAATTCGTTAGTCTCTAAGGTGCCACAAGTCCTCCTTTTCTTTTTGCAGATACAGACTAACACGGCTGCTACTCTGAAACCCGTGATTAGTAAAGTGCTTTAATTGTCCCATGTAGACCCTGCTGGCACGTTAATGTCAACGTGCATGAGAGTGTGCCAGAAGGAGCTATATGGGACAGTTAGAGTGCAGCATATTAGATAAATCACACCCCAGTACTTTGCTTTTCTAAAACAAGATGCACATGTAAACATCACCAAATACAAAAGGATGATTTGCAGAGCAAACTATTCCGAGTACTAGTCAAAGTGTTGTTTGTTCTATAGGAATCATTGTGGTTCATGCACTACACAGATGAAAAATGTCTGAACACACACATACACACACACACACACACACACAAAACCAAGAGCAGAAGTTATTCAGATATTTAATGAGCCCCAATTTCAAGTGTTCTCCTGAGGCCATTTTTCGCTGTACCACAAATCAATACATATGCAGCTTTGACATGAAAGATTTTTTTTCAATTATGCAGTAAACATATCTGTCATATCAATTCTAATTTATATGGGCCAGTTCTACAACCAGACCCTCAAATACCATAATCCTTCAAAATGGATTATTATTTACTGTGTTAGGATAATGATGGAAGCAGAGTTTGACAAATATGCATTCATATGCTGAGACAGGGTCCTTCCTGTTGTGTTAAGGTGCTCTTTTTTACAACAAGGTAAAATTTGTGTGGTAAATTTACATACCCTTCTCTCACTGTGTCTAGTAGGAAGAACAAATCCCAAAATGTTAAAGTTCATTTGTTTTGGCAACTCTTATTATTTTAGTAATTAGATAATTGCATACCAGAAGGGCCTCATCTGGGGTGGTAGGTGAAAGTTCTGCAGATACTGTCCGAATAGTGCTGAGTCCCGTTAAGGAAACATTTGAGAGTCGTCTTTTACGTACACCGCTGCAGTTGTTAGGGATTTTAAATGCACACCTCTTATGGTAGTTTAGACCACATCCTGAAAAGGAAAACATGAAGCCTTCCTATTAAAGATTATTTCAGAATAAAGTAGAAATGTATTTTTATATTGAACAAAAATGCCACCCTAATTTTCTCTGAAGCTATTGGTATTCAGCATTACTATTTTGCCTTAAGTTTTGCTAGTTTAAAAAGATGTTAAGGCAAATCTCAATGGTCTATAGATAATTCAATAAACTTCCAAAAGTTACCACCATGACCAAACCTCAGTCTTAGTCCCTCATTTGCCAAGAATCTATGAGCAGAAGGCACTACTGTGGCTGTACACTTAGTACATGGGAGGTATGGAAAAAAGATTTAATTTCATGTCAGTCATTGGCAACATTCCAACAGGAGCTGAACACAGATGCTCTGGGTAAAATGAGAATGATCACAGCAAATATCTATACTCTGATCTCTCACCAGTATTGCTCAAGAGCAACTTTAATGAAGTCAATAGAATTACACTGGTATAAAATCAGAGAAAAGAATTAGGCATAGGGTGTGAGAAATTTACATGACAGAAAGGCCTTTCCTCAGATAAAGATTAGGCATGGACAACCCGACCGTGACGCCTCCTGGGGGTACAGAGTGAGGCTTCCACCTGTCTTTAGGGTGAGGAAGCCTTGCCTGTACCTTTCGTGGGTCAGCTTCCTGACTCCACCGGCACAGACAACACAAGCACTCCCCGCTTAACATACGGAGGCTCTGCCCAGCCACTACTCCACTGGACGCTTTTAGCTTTCAAAGATTCACTGCTCACAAAGGAACAGTACACCCCAGCTTACCACATACACCTCAGATCACAGCTCCACTTAACACAGGGCCCTTAGATAAGTTTATAGGACAAATGATTAAACTTTTATTTAACAAAGTATAGAGATTCGAGAGATAGTAAGTAGAAATATTGGAAACAAATGGTTACATACAAAATAAAATCATAACACTCATTCTAGAGCCTAGACTTAACTAACAAGTTACTGTCATGTCTTATAGGGCAGAGCTCACCCAAAATCCATCCCACGTATTACAGCCAGGCTTGGCTGGGATCTTCCATTCGAGAGACAAGCTAAATTGTCAGCTTTCCTCCACAGTGTAAAAGATTCAGGGTGTCTCCCTGTACCCTCAATTATACTCCCATAACCATTATCTTTACTCATAAGCAGGACCCTCCCTGATGGTTGTTGTTTTCCTGTGTGCCTTTTTCTTGTCAATTTTACAATCTCTTGATTAGCATATGGCTCAAACTGTAGCTAGGCCTCCATTGTGAAGCGGACAACACTCAATACACACATTACCAGCCAGAGAGTCATAAAAGTGTCTCTTCCTTCCTACCTGACAGGAGCTGATCTGCCCTAACTAACATACCTTAATAATTTTCAGTACAGATACATAATTCCTTAAACATTATCCGTACATACATTTTGCAATGATTACGATGACAAGTGGACTCTTGGCTCTTGGTAGAGAGCTCATATGCCACCTTTGGTAAACTTAATATGCATACATCTGACCTTGGGGATGCCTGTAAAACTCTATGCACCCTTTGCCACCAAAAGGTTCCTGGGTCACACCCTCCTCCGGGCCTAAATTCTGGATTTATAGTATGATAAGACCTCATGAGGAAGAGAGCCTAGGCTGGCATTTGGTGGTGTGAGGGGAGGAAAATTTGAAATTGGAGACAGCAGTACCAGGTTATGGCTAAATAAAGACAGGGGAAAGTGAAAGCTGACAAAAAAGTTTCATGTTCTTTATTGATTTCTATCCAGTTCAATCCCAATGAACCCACTGGCATTCTAGAGGATGCCAGTCAATATAAGATTTTGGACCCATGAGATTTTAAAAAGTTATTATTATTATTAACAAACAACTAATATCAAACACTAAGGCTATGTCTATACTACAAATTACTTTGGTATAAATTATGTTGTTCAAGGGTATGAATAATCCATACCCCTGAGCAACGTAAGTTATACCAACCTAAATGCCATTGTAGACAGCGCTATGTCAGTGAGAGAGCTTCTCCTGCCAACATAGCTACTGCCCTTCATGGAGGCAGGAGTTATGAAGCCGACAGGAGAGCTCTCTCCCATCAGCTTAGAGCATTTTCACCAAACGTGCTGCAGCTGGGCCGCTGTAAATTATGGAGTGTAAACACAGCCTGTAACTAAACACATAAAAGTGATCAATAGTAGTAAATCTAGTTATCTTTGCACTTCAACAGTACAATATTTTGCAGCCAACAGTATTACTATTTGTCTATGAATGACATGGGATATACATTTTTTTCCCCTTTAAAGAAGCCTGGATATCTTGAAGAGTAAGGACTGCAAATGTACTCATAAAATAGCTGGACTTTCCAAAGCAGCAGACATTCAGAAAGTTTACTGTGTTGTCCCAAGAAAGGTTCCCTAGATTCAGAGTCATTCAGCTACCATTTGTTCATTTATTCTAGGCCAGGAGGAGAAAGATCATCATCACTATACTTGTTACTTTAGTCATACTAAGCATCTTGTTTTGAATTCCCACAATATTTTTATTCCATTATTAGCTTTATTCCAGAAATTGCTATATTTATTTTCTTGATGTCCTTTTTCTGTCATCTCAGTTCATCAATGAGTTAGGTCAGAAAACCATACAAAATTACTCTTTATTTAAACACAATATCTTTTTTAAAAGGGAAGAGAGTAGATCCCATTTCCCCAGCAGAATAATGGCTTACGCCTTTTGAACTCCTCCTCCTAAATAATCTACTCTGGTAATTATAAACATTTAAATGTGCAAATTCAGAGGGGAGTGAGATTAATCAGATAAGGACTCTGTTCAACAGTGAATATACTTCTAGGCAAATTCACATGTCTTTCTGACTTTCTGCCAGCATATCCATCCCAACCACACCCAGAGTACAAATCATAAGACTCCATTGAGCCTGATGGCTTTGCATTACTTAATGTTAGGGAAGATAATGGAGATGCCACAAACAATTTTTAAAAAAGATTCAGGGCCTAAAACTGGATAAGACAATGAGAAAAACAAATTTATTTTTCATTTTAAAAAAATTCTCCTTAATGGCTGGAGTATAGAATCATAGAATATCAGGGTTGGAAGAGACCTCAGGAGGTCATCTAGTCCAACCCCCTGCTCAAAGCAGGACCGATCCCCAATTAAATCATCCCAGCCAGAGCTTTGTCAAGCCTGACCTTAAAACCTTCTAAGGAAGGAGATTCCACCACCTCTCTAGGTAACGCATTCCAGTGTTTCATCCCCCTGCTGGTGGTGGAGTAACCCTGATCAGTGTAGCCCCTGCTGAAAACAATGAGTCATGCCTCTCAACCTGCCTATGTTCAAATATGCAGTGTTTGCCAAATACCCAAAATGAAGAAAACAAACAAAAATAAATTCATGGAGGAAAAGTAACATGTGGGATTCGTTTTTTAGTGCAAAAAAATCTGACTATAATCTCAGTTACATATTCTTATTTTTAATGTAAATAATATTTAATAGCAAAAAGGGAATAAACACCAAATTAATGTGGAACATAGGGAACTTTGGGTCTACATTGTGCGATTGTCCCTTGAAATTAAAGCCATCCAATAGGTATGCAATGAGTTTTGTGCTCTTTTTCATACACACACAACTCCTAGTAATTTTAACTGAGGGTGCATTTACATATTGACTAGTGAAATGGTAGTGGATTTACTTGACATAGTAGTATAGGAGATAGCACAAACCATGAAAATATTTACCTTCAAATCTTTATACGAATTCCATCATTAATATCTTTGCCTTTATTTGCTGGGAATATTTAAATAAGGAAGCATTCTTTGTCACATGGCAGAATTTCTACTTACTCATCAAAAGCCTTGTCTATACAAAAAAGTTGCATTGTTACTGCTTATACCACCATAATTAAACCAATTTAACTAAACCAACTGTGTGTTCACACTCTTGTGCTTGCACCAGTACAGCCATATTGAATTAGAAACCATGGGTGAAATCCTGGATCCATGGAAATCAAACTCCCATTGATTTCAGTGAAGCCAGGATTTTACTCCATATATTCACACAGCACTGTGCTGCACTGATTGTACTGCTTTGCTGTCTCAGTAAGTACTCTGAAGTACCTTGGATTAGCTCCAGCCTCACTATATTCTGACCAGTTTCCACAATGCATTATGGGATGTCCCTTGGAGACCAGAAGTATAGTTCTGGTGCCCACACTATTTTGAAATACTGTCAAGCACAGGAGTGGCATGCTTGACTCCAGTCTCTGACTCAGATTGGAAAGCAAATGCTCACTTACCTTCACATTTAAGTCCCTGACGCACAAGACCCCACAGCATTTCTCCACAGTGGTCACAGAAAGCTGGTGCTCGGTATGAATGAACAAACAGAGCATGGGGACGGATCTGAAAGTCTTCAAATGTGGCAGAAGCTGTAAAAACAAGAACATATAAAAGATAAAGCTAATTAATACCATAACAAATCTGTATCATTACATGATATTTTATTGTAATAGGTAATTTGATATTTCTTTTTTTTTCAGATATGATTGAAATATAATCATTGTTATCTTGAGTTTCTCTCTTGTGGTCATTATTGTAAATGGAATTATTCTTTATTCATGCAAAATTTAATTTATAGAAAGAGAAGTAAGAATTCGCAATTGCTTGTAAATATAATATCCTATTCCAAGGATGAAATGCTAGTAACTATCAGCCATACCAAAATGAATGTTAGAAAAATGTAAAAGTGTGCTTCCAAGTTTTTTTTTGCCAGTACTTCAGATGTACACTAAAGTTGCAGCAAACTTTTATACTTTCCTTTCTAACTTTTGTACTGCTTAGAATAATATTGATCTCTTACCAGAGCTATCATATACACAACTATTAAAATGTGTGTATTTATGAAATCTTTGTTCATAATATCTATTGTACTCATGTCCAAGCCTGTCATTTACATTATTTTATAATCCTTCATTTTTATAGTATATTCTAATGTACTGGCCAAGGATTTTTTTAAGTTTATTTTTAAATTGTTTTAAATGTTCTCATCAAAATTTAAAGGTGTGATTATTTGCCACTTTTTCATAATGGTTGTATGAGGTAGTTGCTACATTCGTCCAGATTTATTAAGACTCTCTTTGAGGCAATGTGATAAATAACATATTAGTAATCTAGAATGAGTATTATCTGTTTTCTAGCAAAGGCATAAAGAATAATTGGTGCATTAAACCTCTGCCATAAATTAGCAAAGGATTCAACCAAATTTCAAGACATTTTTCTAAGCACTATTTTATAAGATTGCATCATTATGTGAAAATAGGCAGAAGCTAAGATACATTGCATGGGAGCATGTAGCTGCAAGTCGTTATCAAACACGGAAAATGAAAGTGGATCAAGGAGGGCCACTGATGCAGACCATTTCTTAACAGGAAGCATGTTACCATTTGCCTAGTCAAATGTTAAAAAAACAAAAACAGTTACTAACCTTTCCATAACTGTTGTTCTTCAAGATGTGTTGCACGTGTCCATTCCAATGTAGGTGTGTGTGCGCCTTGCCCAGTGCTGATACATCTGTGACAAGGGACAGCGATGGATGGGGCCATGAGAACGGAACGCCCACGCAAACCACCAGCGGGTCCAGCCACCAACCAAGGAAGATGAGAACCGGGGTGAGGAACCCTGAGGATTGTGTTCATATGGTGGTGTTTTGTTGAGTACACCAAAGCCAGCCATGCCTGGAGAGGTCTAAGTCAAAGTCTCGCGTACTGAACTATGTAAGTACATGAGGTCATTTGACCCAGGAGCCTCAGGCAACTCCGTGTTGTTATAATCAGGCATTCCTTGAGGTGCTCTATAAGCATCATGATTGCCTGAATCTGCCCTTCTGGGAGAAAGGCTCTGGCTTGGTCAGAGTTGAGCACCACTTCAATGGACTCTATCCTTTGTACCGGGGAAAGGGTAGATTTCTACATATTCATTAGCAGGCCTAGGTCCCAGAAGGTTGACTGGATGAGATGTATGCTGGACTCCACCTGAGCCCTAGTCCAGCCTCTGACCAGCCAGTCGCCAAGGTAAGGGTAAACCTGAACCCCTTGCCTCCTTGGGGAGACTGCTACGACCACCATGTGCTTTGTAAACACTCATGATGCTGCCGATAGGCAGAACAGGAGAACTGTGAAGTGGCAGTGCATGTGATTCACAACAAACCTGAGGAACCTTCTGTCCCCCTGAAATATCAAAATGTGAAAATAAGCATCTCTCAAATCAAGGCTGATGTACCAGTCCCCTCTATTTAGGAAAGGGATGATGGAAGACAATGAGACCATGTGGAACATTACCTTCTTGAGGTAACTGTTGGGCTGCCACAGGTCCAGGATAGGTCTGAAACCTCCCTTGGCTTTCAGGATTAGAAAATAATGGGAGTAGAACCCTCAACCACTTAAATTCTATAGAACTTCTTCCAAGGCTCCCACCTGTAAGAGCAACTGCACTTCTTGGGCTAGAAGTGGCTCATGAGAAGTGTCCCTAAAGAGGGATGGGAAGGGGGATGGGATGGGCGGAAGAAAATTGAATTGGAGGGTATATCCCACTTCTATTGTGCTTAGTACCCAAGGGTCTGTAATAATATGGGACCATGCCTGAAGGAAGTGGAACAAGTGGTCTGCAAAGAAAGTGCAGGTTGGATCCAAAGTCTCTGTGGCTGGCACACTGTCCCCCTGAGTCCCATCAAAAGGCCTGCTTAGAGTGCCTGGAATGTCTTGGGGAAGCAGGCATTGATGACGAGAAAGACTGGGGTGCAGGTCTCTGCTTGAAGTCTCTGCTCCTCTTCCTCTGTGAGTCCTTCTTGGCCGGTGGAAGGAAGAACCAGAAGGAAGGCTGGGGCATAAAATCCTTTCTCATAGATGCTGGGGTGTATAAGATCAGGAACTCCAGAGTAGCCTTGGAATCCTTGAGGCCATGGAGCTTAGAGTCTGTCTGCTCTGAAAAGAGCAAAGTGCCCTCAAAGAGAAGATCCTGGAGGGTCTGTTGGACTTCATGTGGGAAGCCTGAGGATTGGAGCCAGGAACTTCTATGCATAACCACTGTGGAGGCCATGAACCTGGCTGCTGAATCTGCAGCTTCCAGGGTCCCTTGTAGGGAAGCCCTTGCTAAAGACTTCCCCTCCTCCACCAAAGAGGAGAACTTGTGTCTGGCCTCTTGGCCCATCAAGTCCTTAAACTTTAACAAGGAGTCCCAAATGTTAAAGTCATAACCTGCTTGTTAGTTCGTGATCCTGAGCTGCAAACCCCCAGTTGAGTAGGCCTTCCTCCCAAACAGGTCTAGCTTCTTAGAATCTTTTGACTTAGGGGCCACTCATGGTAAACCCTGTTGTTCTCACTAATTGGAAGCTGAGACCACCAAGGATTCTGGGAGAGGATAAGTAAGTAAAAATTCATATCCCTTAGCCAGGACAAAGTTCTTCTTTTTGGCCTTTTTGGCTGTGGGAGGTAGGGATGCTGGGGTTTGTCTTTTACTGGGTCCCTGATGGCCTTGTTGAGGGAAAGGGCCACTCTTGACAGGCCTGCTGCAGCCAAGATGTCCAACAAAGAGGGAAGGATTCCTTAACCTCCTCCATCTGGATGCCCAGGTTTTGGGCCACTCTCTTAAGAACATCCTTATAGTTGTCATGGGAGGGTGCTATGTCAGCTCCTGCCACAGGCCTTGTCAGGAAAAGAGGAGAAGGAATCCTGCACCAGCCGGAAGCACTGGTCTTTGCTTTTGGCATCGGCCAGGTCATGTGGTTTTAGCTCCTGGTAGTGAGTACTGGTCTGGTACTGGAGCCTGGATCAGGCTCTGCTCGAAGAGGCGGCAGTACTCCTCCCTCAGAGGCCGTCGAGTAGGAGCATCTCGATTGAGAGCCCTGTGTAAGGAGAAATGCCCATGGGTTCCAGAAGGGCCACTGTAACGGCACCTGCCACTATCCAGGAGGCCAAGCAACTGACAGAATGCCTGGCCCAGGTCCATCACAGGGTAGTACCAACTTGCATGCCAGGGCCGATTGCTGTGGAAGATATATGACTCCGATGATGAGGAATCGCTGTCTGGAGAACAGGGAGGAGCATTTCCCACTAGTTCCAGTGACCAGTACCAAGGCAGGGAAGACCAGGACTGGGACATCATGACCAGCTCCCCCTTAGACGATACCGAGGGCCTTGGTACCGAGCTATAGCCAGTAGCTTTTCTGCTTGCTGACACCTACACCATTGGCTCTTGTACCACTGGCGACACCAGCACCGACAGCAGGAGCAGGTCCCTAGCTGCAGCCAACGTCTCCACCGCGTATGGTACCGCTGAAGTGCTGGTACTGTGCTGCCCCTCCAGTGCTGACGGATTGATCGGTGCCAAGCTCAATGGCACCTGCAATGTGGCTGGAGTGAATGGCACTGGCTGAGTTGCTGGAGATGCAGAATGGCCCTGCAGAGGTCGCACTCCGCTGTGGTCTCCATGTCTGGCTAGGAGTCGGGGAACATCTTCTTCTGTTTCTTCCTCAGCACCAGAGATGGTGAACGGTGCCGAGGTTCTCAGATGGCGACAGGAGCGCCATGCCTCGGCACTGGTAGCAAAAGAAACTCTGTTAAAACAGAGAAACTAAGTCTAACGACTACAAAAGAAAAGTTAGCTAACTATGAATAAAACTAAGTACAACAAAGTAGGAAACAAAGTCCGCTGAGGAAGATTTGTGAGAACAAGGACAGAGAAGTTCCAGCGACTGTCCTGGGTGGCAGAAGGAACTAAGGGAGCATGGAAACACCAATGCCCTATATACCGTTGCTATGGCCGTGTGGCACCAGCAGGCACAGAGCTGATCCGGTGGATATCACTGAGGGAAAAATTTATGGTGGCTGTACTCGGAACACACACACACACCTATATTGGAATGGAGATGTGCAATCATTCAAGAATAGGAAGTTTCACAGAAAGGTCATAAATTGGCCTGCACTTGTTGAAGTAAATTTCAAATCCTCTTGGGACAGGTGCAACAATTCCAACTGTTGGAACAGCTACGATAGTTAGAATAATCATTTTGGGATTGGCTTAAACTACAGAATAGGCAGCTACAGTATATAAAGACATTTTGGTTCCAGATCATCAGTGTTCAATTGTTTGGTTTGAATCAAAGATTTATTTGGCCTCATTACAAGAGTGGGAGTGAAACTGACAATCTGAAGGATCGGGAACAGGCTTTAAAGCGTACTACAGGGAGATAAGCCACGGCCTTAGCAAAGACGATATATTCCTGGAGGTGTGAACAAAGTGGTGTATTTATATTTTAATCATGCAGCTGAAGCTACAAAAATGTCTTTTAAAGCTGTGTTTGAGTTTGTGCCACAGTACTAATCTGTGAATAATTTTATTGATCAGATATTGCATTCATGGGCATTACATAAAA